TAAAGCAGGGGATGCTTTAGGGCGGGGCTACACGGTGATCGACAGGTGACAATTTGGGCGTCAAACTGGGAAACAGAAATCCTCCCTTGGAATCTTGTGTCACCAGAGACGTTTACGGCAAGGCAAGTTTATTTGTGTATCACATTTCAACAATAAGGTAATTCAAAGTGCTTCACATAAAAGCATCAAAACATAAGGCAAAAGAAAAGCAGATTTAAAAACAATTAAGAACATTCATTAAAACATTAAAAAGCAGTGTAAGAAATAAAATACAGTAGAGAAATGCAGGAAATTGATTAATATCCTTGAATGGTTGAATTAAAGGCAGCAAACAGAAAAGTCTTGATGTAAAGGGGCTGAGGGTCTCAGCAGACCTGCAGCTTTCTGGGACTTTGTTCCAGATATGTGGAGCAGAAACACTGAACGCTGCTTCTCCATGTTTAGTTCTGAATCTGGGAACAGGAAGTAGACCGGTCCCAGATGACCTAAGGGGTCGGGATGGTTCATAAGGTAGCAGCAGATCAGAGATGTATTTTGGCCCGAAACCATTCAGTGCTTTATAAACCAACAGCAGGTAAATTCTAGCGTCTCTACGTCACTCCTCCTCAGTCCAGATATGGTCACTTCCTGTTCACTGGTTGCAAAAAACAAAGATGGCGACGGCCAAAACTCCAAACTTGAGGCTTCAAAACATCAACAAACCAACGACTACGTCCACTTCTTCTATACAGTCTGTGGTCGATACTGATGATCTGCGCATCTCCTAACACTCGAGTATTTATTTCTCTCCCTCCTCTCTCTCTCTCTGTCTCTCTCTCTCCCTCTGTCTTTAACATTGTATCATCATGTATCATTTAACATTAACATTGACGTTGAGTCTGTGTCATTTCAGGGTGAAAATACAGTTTTTAACTATAAAGGAACGCTCTCTTCATGTATTTCTTTTAAAGAGATCACAGACTAAAGACAATAAGAGACTCGTGAGCCTCTCTGCTTTATACGTCTAACGCTGTGAGCTTGTAGTGATGGATCAGGTAAATGAAAGGTGCAGTGAGTGTATTAGTCTTCATACAAGTAGAAGAACATATACATATTCACAGATGCATTGAGTATGAGAACACATCTGCTGCGCTCCAGCTTCAGTCCAACCAGCAAACCTCTGAACCAGATGTTTCTGCAGAAGAAAGGTTTTTACTTTATTTATTGAGCTCATTTATTATTCAGCATGATGACTTCCGTTCGCTCCACGTGGCTGCCCGTGCACCACAGAGGGGCACTGTTCTCACAGTCTCACCTGTCTGCTTCAGGTCCTTTAGACACAACATAATGTTTTAATAAAGGTCTCCTTTAGACTAATTTTAACGGACACACAACATCTGGGTTACTTGTGTTTGAAGCACATTGATGGCACCTTTTAGTTTCCGGTGCATCGTTGTGCAGTCAGCAGGTCAGAGCACCGACGCAAACCCTCCGCCCACCGCGCGCATATGTTATGCTAATGAGCAGGTGCGGCGTGGTCTTGAGGCGCGCGGTGGGGCCGCTCGCGGATGATCCGGATGGAGCAGCGCAGGGCGCAGCGGGAGTCCAGCCGGAGGGTCTTCACCAGGTGATGCTGTCCAGACCCCACTGACATGCGGATCCGCGAGACACGGATGGATCCCTGTTTAAGACGAGGCCGGAAACGGCCTTTTCACTTATTATCTTTGTGTTTTATCCTCATTTATCAAGGTGAGTCCCGCTCCGCTCTCTTTGTGCAGAATCAAACTCCTAAATCCTCCATTTGTTGTTCTCAAGAGTTTCCGGATGAAATGAAACTCTTCTCACAGTGTTGATCTGGATTTCAGCGCATCTGTCCTGGGGTGTTGACAGAGTGAACCTTTCTGACGGGAAGCAGTTTAATAAGTAAGTCTTTTTATTTCAATAAAAATGTATTATTTTTAATGTTTTAACATATTTAAAATGGATTCGGTTTGATGTTATTTGAATTACATGTATGTTTTCTTTATATATATAATCTATATATATATATATATATAGATTATATATACAGTATATGTATGCATATATGTATATCTTCCCTTAAGTATTATGTGTTTTATTCCCATATCTTATAATCTATAATAATAATAATAACTAAAGCATGTTTTTGTTGTAACAAGAGCGATTTATGTATTTCACATACTCTGTATGCTTTTATGTTTTGTGCCTCTGACGTGGATGTTTTTTAGTGTCTAAACAACTACAGCATAATACTGTTTTTAGTCCATGTTTCTATTTTAACATAGTTATTCTCACTTTTTTTCATTGTTTGTCCACGCATTAAGTGTCAATATTGTACAACTTTTTAACTTTAATCTTACATTGTTTTTATGTTTATTTCGTAAACATCTGCCTTTGGGACTACAGCTGAAAAATAGCCTTTTGGCTAACTCTGGCACATTTACAGAAATGTTTTTATTAATGTGCACTGTCCCGTTCAAATAAACCAATAAATAAATAAATAAATAAGAGGAAAGGATTGGTCGATTAATCAATTAATACTTTTTTTTACATAAATATCTATAAGTTTATTTATAACAAGTATAAATATTTTTTACATAATAAATCGAATAATTCATGCTTCTCAAATGTGAATATTTTGCTGTTTTCTCAGGATTTTTATTATTTTAGTTATTATTTTTATTTGTATTAGTTATTTCTAATATATTGAATATTGTTTTTGTGACTGTTAAAGTAAAAATATCAGCTTAAATATGTGATCTTTGTAATGTGAGGGACATTTTTCACTATTATTTAGTCATTTTATGGATCAACTGATTATTACATTGACCCGTTGCACCCTTAGCTGTACTTCTGATTCAGGTGGCCCTTTGTCAGTAGTATATCGTGGAACAGGCAGTGTTTGATTGATTGGTAGTTGGGGGGGGTTCCTGGTGGCTTAGTTGGTGGTGGGTTTGTGGTGTCGGGGGGGTTGAAAGCAGGAACAAACCTGTCCTTGTTCTCTCTGTCCCAGCAGCGGGAGCAGCAGGATAAAGCAGCAGAAATGGGACACCGCTTCCCATGGAGGGCAGGTAGGCCGGCGCATTGATCATTGATGCTGATGGAGCTGCTTCAGGCGGCAAACACACAGCCAGAGATCACCGAAAAAATCTGCAACGCACAGACAACACCAAAACACTGAGCCGGAGGAAAGAAAAGATCAAACCGCCACCTGGAGAGATTTTATCCCAATCACTTATACACAGCGTTCCAGTAGCTCCAGTATAAACTTCCACTGTTTCCTTATAGACTCACAGACACAGATTCATAATTTATGCAAAGGAGCATAGACAAGTGGCAGCCATTATTTGAAGGAACAGTCTGTGCATTCCAATACCAATACTAGCAGACTACTTAGTATGCCAAAAATGATGTAGCATGCCCTATTACGTATTATATGTGAAATGCAGTATGCCAACAAATACCAGGAAGTCCTTCTACATCTGGTGGAATATTGCAGTACTTAAGCCAGCATGCTTTTCTCTGTAAGGACAGCTGCAGTATGTAGTGAAAAAATGAGATGTGGAACTCAGCATTGTGAGGCATTTAGGGAGATCTATTGCCAGAAATAGAATATAATATTAATATGTATGTTTTCTTTAGTGTATAATCACCTGAAAATAAGAATCGTTTTTGTGAGAATGAGCTGTTTATATCTACATACAGAGCGGGTCCTCTTCAAGGAAGCCGCCATGTTGCTACGGTAGCCCAGAAGGGACAAACCCTTCTATGGCTATAGATGGAGATGTTCACGTTTTCACGTTTTCGCATCGACCATCGTAGTTCTCCTACACGCTCGCCGTGTTTCAGTTTCAGTTGGTTTACAATCAGCAACCTCACTGCTAGATAGCGCCAGCTCCTACGCACTGCAGCTTTAAAGATTACTATAATTCTATTTTAATTAAATCACAAAAACTTTACGTCACCAACAGTATCAACGTATCCTCAAAGGGTTCATATGATAGCTTACGAAAAAGTCATATGCATACGGTGTTTTAAAAATAAACTTCCTTCTTCACAGGAAACTCATTTAGGTTTAGGCAACAAAACTTCTTACTTAGGTTCAGGAATAGCTTTTCGTTTCGGTTAAAATTACTACTGAGCTGCCGTTACTGAAGAAAGCAAGTTACGTGACAAATGTATTAAAGTTAAACATGTTCACACGGGGAAAGAACAGCGGCCTCCTGTTTGTTAGACCCATTCCCGCCAGCCTGGCGTGTGCTTTAGCTGTCTTTATACGTCCTCGTTCATTATCACGAGGGTAACCTATTCAAAATGATTTTGTGGGAAACCGACAAATTTTTTGTAGCTTTTGCTACGAATGCTGGATGAGACCAGCCTGATGGTATTTTTGTGGTTTTATTGTGGTAAAAAATAGTTGGTTGAGTCAAAACAGCCAAAATAAAACATGTATTTCTGCACAAAAGAAGTACACAGCCCTGAGATCAGGCAGAGACGGTACCCGGATGACACGTAAAGATATGAGCTGAAAACTCACATTGTTCCCTGCTGATGTGCACTTCAGCGTGTAAAACGTAAAATTGCTCCACTGTGACATTTGTTCCTCAGAAAACAGACATGTGAGGGAGTCCCAGCAGGAATATAAAGAAGCCTGGTCTGTTGTCTCGCTCTTCCGCTATCGGAGCCTCCATCAGCCTGAATGCGGTCGCTTCTTTTGTCCCCTTTGGCTCAGAGAGGCGTGAGAATCCGGTCCAAACTATAGGAGGCTAGTAAACGAACGATGCAATTAGTAGCACAGGTCGCAGGTATAGAGAGACGATCTACCTCGTGTCATCCGGGGCGACACTGCTTGCGTTTCTGTTTGACCTGCTCAGCATCGTTATCTGCTGATACTAATCAGTGATCAATGATTCATAGTCACACACCCCCCTCGTACCCCCCTACCCTTCATCATTGCCATCTGCTTTGTTCCTGCTCTTTGAGATGAAAGCCTCAGTTTGAGAGCTCAGGTATCCGGGGAGGCTCAAATTGTAGAAACAACGTTCGACTGATGGTTTCTGAATGCCAACTTTCTATTTAATCAAAGCTGCAGTTACTGTTTTCAACTTATAATTCTAATGCTAAAATATTCCAGATAGATATTCAATTTTCCTTCCGAAGACAGCTTCCAAAGCCTAACCTTTGATTTTCTGCGGCTCTGCATCGTGACCTAAGGGAGAATTCACATTTTAGTTAAAAAAAAACACCACTAGATAAACGTCCCCTCGCTGAATATTTCATGCAACAAAGATCAGCGGTGGTGGATCGGAGGGTGGGGTTGTAGACCTGAATGGGAAAGAGTCAGGAGTCACAGAGGAGTCGTTCATGAAGGCCGGATGACTGCTCTTTTCTCTTGAGCTTCTTCTTTTCCCAGTGGTTCCATCCTCACCAGTCCGGACTCTGGTTTGGCAACAACCGGTGTAAATCTGGGAGAACTTTTGGCCTTAACGAAACACAGAATTGTAAAAAAAGTTTTGGGGTGCTTTACATTTTAATCAAATCTTAATTAATCCGTCACCCGAGAGCCGAGCTTGTTTTTCAAATTTGCTTGATTTTATATTGAACTCATGGAATGAATCAAACAAGGACTTAGTTTTGGTTTACTGGAATTGTCTCCTTGCTCTCTTTGCCAAACGATGCCAAGGCCCAATTTGAAAAATGATCAGTTTTAATATATTTGGTTGAAAGAGGCTCTGAAACATTGCTAGATAGGATCAGATTATGGCTGCATGACTGAATGGTTGCAACTGTTGGATGAAATGCCTGATTCAGTTTCTCTCCTTGAAGGACCTCCAGACAGCAGCTGCTGCGTTAGAAACCAACACGTCTTCCTCCAGTCATTCGCTGGTCAGCCGGACCGATGCGTCCAACCTGACGTCCTCGAGCACGGAGAGGACACCCACCTCCTCACGGACCGT